CACACACACACACCACAAAAACCAACCAGGTCATTGCCCCTTACAACGGCCCTGCACTCTCGTGGCACCCGGTGACCCCCGCCATGAGTAAGGCGTCCTACCAGGCGCCAGACGCCTGCAGGGACACCCGCGCGGCAAAGGGCGCCATCACCTCGTTCTTCTCCCCAAAGGCGGCCGGGGCGGCCGGCAAGGGCAAGGGCAAGGGCGCGCCAGCAACATCGGCAGCAGCAGCCGCGGCTGCGGAGCGCAGGGGTTTGTCTGCGCCTGCGGCCGCGCCTGCGGGGGGCGTAAGCAGGGAGGGGGAGGGGCCGGCGAACGGGGCGCTTGGGACGGCGGCCGGTGGGGCCAGCGAGGGCGCGGATGCGCCGGCGGCGGCAACGGCGGAGGAGGGTGGGGGTGCGGCCGCCGCGACGGCGGCGGCGGCGGCGACGGCGGCGGCCGCCCCTGCCGTCTCGGGAAAGGGGGACCGGGCAGGCGGCGGCGGCGGCGGCGGCGCTACGGTCCGTGGGGCCAGCGCAGCCGTGTCGCCTGCCAAGGGCAGCGGCGGCAGCAAGGGCGGTGGCGGCGGCAGCAAGGGCGGCGCGTCGCCGGCCAAGGCGGCGTTTGAGCGGCTTTTTGCGAAGCAGCAGCAGCAGCAGCAGCAGCAGGAGCAGCAGCAGCAGCAGCAGCAGCAGCAGCAGGAGCAGTGGGGGCAGTCTGGGCCGGCTGCAGGTGCCGGCGAGGCAGAGGTGAAGCATGAGAGCAAGCAGGAGGAGCAGCAGGGGCTGCATCCAGGGGCAGCTGGGGAGGCGGCTGACGCGGCGGAGGCGGCGGTCAAACATGAGTTGACCGAATCTGCTGCTGAGGCCCGCAACACGGACGCCAACCCCGGCCCCAGCCCTGCGCAGGAGGTGGCCGCGGTGAAAGAGCAGGCCGGCGATGGGGACGGCGGCGGGGGCGGCGACTTGGACGGCGGCAGGGGCGGCAAGCGGGGGCAGGGCGGAGGAAGTAGCGATGTTGGGGCGGCTTCAAAGCGCGCCAAGCCTGCTTGATGTTGGAAGGCAGCACAGGATGTCGTGTGCATTCGGAAGCGCCCTGTCGCCTATCCCTGTTGCTGCCGTGGTTGTTGCTGCTGTTGCTGCAGCATTTGCTGATGCGTGCATATTCAATCGCAGTGTTTGACAAGTAACATGCATGGCTCATAATGTACTTGATGGGAATCCCCCCCCCATTGTCGTGAATGGAGAATCTGTTCTCATCACTGTTGTGTTCAGCAGTAACTGCTGTAGCATGCGGCACTGACCCGTACACTACAATGTTGCGGTCTATTTTGCAGGCTTGATGGGTTGTCGTGTGCAATGGGTACACGACAACCCATCATCGGGCACTCGGCGCGGGCTGTGGCCACATAATCCAATGCAGTGTGACCATGACTCAGTACTGCTCATGCGGCTGCGAGCTCAGGCTCAAAAGCGTTTGGTACCAAGCGGTAGGTGGAAAGGCAGGTGGCGGGTTAACCAAGGCTGGCTGCGTGGCGGAAGGTGTTGCGCATGACAGGGTGTGAAGGGCATGAGTGCTGCAAAACTGTAGCAAAGGCAGTATGGGGGTGAGAGCTGCAAAACTGTACAGTAGCAACGGCAGTTAACACGCCCATAAATTTGTTTGAGATGGCTGCAGAAATTATGAGGAAGTGGTGCTGTATTGTTCTGGTGTACATCTTGTCACTGATCTAATCATCTCTGTGTGACAACCCCGACACATATATGGTGCACATTCAGCGTTGCCAGCATGTTACAATGCCAGCAAACGAAGGCAAAGAGGGTTGCAACATCACCCCATTACTGTATCATCACACCACTCGTAATGTACGCCTGATGTAAAATTGCACAGATGGTACATGCTCCGATCAGTCACCACCAACAGTCGCTGACGCATGCTGGGGAGTGCAACAGCTCAAAAGCTCGCCACACAAGCTTGTGGCCGCCAAAGGCGCCGCTTACAACTAAAGCGAAGGCATGTACAAGCAACAGGTTTGAGGAACAGTTCACAAAGGGGACCATCGTCGGGGTGCACACGTCACACCCCGAATGTCCTGTCCCTGACCCCTTCACCACCAGCCGCTGGCAGTTGAGCAGTCTACTGCTTGCGCACGTTGTCGATAACGCCCTGCACGTTGTGCTTAGCCTTGTCAGCCTGCGGCGAGGGGGGAGGTGAGCGACACGTACATGATCAGGAATGCAAGAGAGATTAGCCGCGACTTAGCACACAGTTGTGGCCAGTGGCCAACAACTGCTGTTGCAGAGGGTGATTTGTGCTGGACTGTTGTGGGTGGTGCGGCAGTCGAACGCCACACCACCCACAAGTGCTGAACCCACTGACCGTAGCGGAGGCCTGGTTGCTGGCGTTGTCAAGGGCATGGGACGCCTTGTTGGTGGCGGACTCGTGCTGGTTGCCGGCGCGGTCAGCGGTGTGCTGCGCGTTGTGCTTGGCCTGGCGATGACAGGTGGAGGGAGGCAAGACACTTGGGTTGGAAAACTCCATTTTTGTTTCTTTATTCGACGGGAAGATTCGTAATCCACAACAGCAATGCCACCCGCTCACAACATGCGCAGTTGCCAGTGGTCTGCAGATGCATGGAGGGCGCAGGTTTGCACCAGGCAGCCGACTCACCTGCTCCAGCGTCTCGCCGGCGCGGTGCTGCGTCTCGTGGGCGGCCTCGGCGGCGCGGTCCTTGGTCTGCTGGGCAGACTCGCCCGCCTTGTTGGCCAGGCCGGCCACGGACTCCTGGACCTGGGGATCAGGTCGGTGCGACACACAGGCGGCGTGGCGGGGGTGAGGGAAACGGCATGCGTGCGTGCCACGGCTGCGTTGGTAGCATGCAGATGCATGTATGGACAGCACTGCAGGCAGAGAGGTGCAGCACTGAGAGGCAAACCACGCACAGCACTGCCAGGCGAAAAGGTCCAGAAGGGCACCTTGTTGGCGGCGTTCTTGATGGACTCCATTGCGACGAGGTGAGCTGCGAGGATGAGGGGTTTGTTGGTGAGTTGGTGACAGGGCGCGACGTCATACACAGCTCTCTGCTGCGTTGCTATCGACCGAAAAATGAAGAGCGTGCCCTAGTACACGTTTTGAAGTGCGTCCCGGACAATGACGAGAGATGCAAGGCGGACGGCGTGCCCGACACAGGCATTCGCCGTTGACATGCCAGCTAGCCGACGATATGCGAGCTAGAGGCTGCCCAACATTGGATCAGGAACACTATGCATGCAGGTATAAGCAAGAGTCAGCCCACTGACCTTGGTTCGTGTGGATCAAGAAGTGAACTTGTAGAGCGGATTGCTTGAAAGGTCGTGGATGCTGAAGGTTTGCGAGTGAAGAAAGCAGGCTTCAGGCGCGTATAAATATGCTGACTCCTCCTGCAATTGTAAGGCAGCTGCCTGATCGTGACTCGCGCGTCCAACGCCCGGTCATGCCCTAACCTCACACATTTCTCAGGAGGCAGCAGTCACTGGCGTGCTGACAGCGACCACAGCGCCCAGGATCTCCGCTTGCAGACCCCCGAGACCCTCACAGTCCCTGGTAACCATCCTTTCGGGGCTTCGCCGTGCCTATGGTGACCGGGGCAGCGCTGGGCACTGCGAGCTGGGCCGCAGCACTCCTCCCCGCCGGACGTCTCCATCCGACTGGCGAGCGTGCATTGCTGCGGGGCTGCAGCTCATGCGCCCCGGCTGCCAATCATGCGTGGGTCATCGCTGATCCTGCTGCGCCGGCCGTCGGAACGTTCCATCGCCACCACAGTTCGTGCCACACCCCTGCTGGGGCGCATGAGCACCTAGGCCGCCCCGGCGATGCCTGGTCACGTCGAGCGCCCATCTGCCGACTGGACACGAAGCCCGCTCAACCAGGTTACATGTAGACATACATGTGAAGTACACAGTACAACATTCTCTTCTGCGGGCCAGACAATCCCTGTTTGTTGCGGCAGCGGGCGGCCTCGCAGCATGCCCCCTCACGCAGAGGCGCTTGAGCTGAGATGTTGGGGCGCTACTGAGCTGTGCGACGCGGTATCGCAGCCCGCCTTGCAGTACATATCTCATATGGCCTGCGCCCTGATGTCAATGACCCGCGCCGACATGGAATAGGTGCCCCTCCTCTGACATCACGCAGCACGCACAGTGATCTCAACTTTTTGCCGAGTGCCCCGAGCAGCTCGTTATTGTCGAGACTAAGAACACCTCAGCAGCAACAGTGGTCGCAGTGACGCGGGCTCGGGGGCCCAGAACACGGGCACGATGCGGTCGGGTGCCCTCGCAGCGCGGCCCACTGACAAGGAACTTGACAAGGGACGCGTTGAGAAGACCACAGTCCGCAGATACCGCGCAGGCCAGGCGCCAGCATGGGCCGAGCAGCAGCAGCACCAGCAGCAGGCGCTCGCCGCAGCATCCACTGCTGCGGCGGCGCGCGCAGACGCGCTCGCCGTGCAGGTGCAGCGCACGGCGATCGCGGCCCCTGTGATCCTGAAGCGCGGGGATGATCCGCGGCTGGCGCGGCTGGCGCAGCGGCAGGTTCGGGGCCCGGAGATCGTGCGTCGGCGGCAGCGGACGCCCGACGACGAGGATGAGGATCAGCAGCAGCAGCGGGACGAGGTCGGGGACGAGGAGGCAGGCGCGGCTCCCCGGCGGCGGCACAGGGAGACTAGCAGCGGCGGGGATGGGGAGGGAGGGGACGAGGAGGAGGATGAGGAGGAGGGCGAGGAGGGTCAGGAGCGGGAGGCAGACGAGGATGCGGATGAGGTGCAGCGGCGGCGAGAGGCCATAAGGGAGCGGTGAGCATTTGTTGTGGGAACACGCGTGTGTGTGCGCACAATCCGAGCGCTTGAATTTGAGCTGTGTGGCCGAGTGCATTCTCGCAAACATTTGTATGCAAGAGTACAAGCACCTAGAAGTCCACATGCAAAGATGGGATGGGGTCCTTGCCACGCCGCAGTGCCTCACCCCCCCTGGCGATGCTTCGAGGCCCCTGCCAGGCCGCCGCAATCATGCCTGCTCAGGCGCGCGGCTTGCATGGATCAACGGCACACCGCCGGTCGCACGCGCCGGCTTCTTGCAATCGTCTCGCCGGCCGCCACGGCCCCTCCCCCGCCCGCGTGCGGCCCCGCCGCGCCCTCCTCACCGCAGGTTGAGAGCCCAGCAGCAGCAGCAGCGGGAGCAGGAACTCTTAGGGCGGGAGGAGGAGCAGGAGGAGGAAGAGGAGGTGCGACCTGGGGGTGCCCCGACTTGTGCAGCGCGAAACTCTGACGCTCGGCCGCTGCCGCGGCGGCGCGGCCCCGCGCTCAGCAGGGCGCACCCTGGGTGCGCTCGCGCACCCTGCCTCCGCTCAGCATTACTTAAGCGATGCCGGCAACCCCTCACAGCCGCCATTGTTCACAAACACTTTGCACATAACTTTGTTGTTTCGACCCAGGAGTCGGAGTACACAACCGACGAGTCATCTGAGGAGGAGGAGGGCCCGGGGGCGCGGCGGCTGGTGAAGCCAGTCTTTGTGCCAAAGGGCGATCGGGAGGTGCGCGGGGGGAGGGGGGGGGAACAGGGGGTGCGGCGGCGGCTGCGGGTGCGGATGCAGCTGGGACTGCGGCTGTGATATCTGCTGCAGCTGCGGGCGGTGTGGTGGCCGCCGCGGCCGCGGCTGCGGCTGCGGCTGCTGTGGCAGTTGGACGGGCGGACGGGCGGACTGGACAGGGGCAGCACCCTGCCCTTGCCGGGCGGCTCGGGGGCAGGGGACGCCCACCGGCCTACCCGCTGCATGCTCGTCGCGGCGGCCGCGGGCCCGGTGCTGGGCCCCTCGCCCTCCCCCTTGGTCCGCCGGCGGCCGCACGCGCTCGGTG